CTCAAGAATGGCACAGAACAAAAGCAAAAAATATTCTTGAGTATTGCAAGATGTGTTAGTAGATGTTCAGGGTTCAAGGTCTGGCATATTAAAGATATCATGGCAAGAACTTTGCAACATTCAACCATTAGCACCCACTCTGAACATTTTAATCAATTTATGAATCAAGCACAAAGAGTTTAAATTTGTTAATTCTTTTGAGTGATTCCTTTTTAGAGGGCAAAAGCACTTCCCAACAGCAAAACTATGGTTCTAAGAAAACTTGTTATTATTGCTTCTTTTCAATAGTAATTTTATAAGGTTTTCAAAATTAATGTGAATTTGAGAAGCCCATACTCTATGAAAGTATTTAAAATACAGGAGGAAATAATCCTCTCTTTTTTTACCTTCTATGTAAACATCTGACCCTTGAAAAGAATCTGTCAAAAAGTCAAAACACATTTATTACTTTCAAAACATTTTGGGTACCATGTCAGCTACCAGATATGAATTCTCCCAATGTTTTTCCTAGCTTTAAAATGAAAGAATAAAAGGACCTTCAGTCCTGCGCACGTATCAGTATGTACTAACACAGTATGTACTAATGCAGAAATTTCGGCCACTGTGGTTTATCCTCTGGAAACACTTCCATTCACGTGTACTTCAAAAAACTGGAATCCTTACCAGAAGTCTTACAGTTTACTTTCACCTTTCCAACAGGCGTAAATCATTATGAGATGATGGGGTGAGGAGGGAGTCAAATAGAAACCAATGTTCATTTAAAACAGATTAAAATAATGAATAACAGTCCAACAAACTAAGAAATGCAACTGAAGAGATCTGTCAAACTGTGTATCATAACTACATCAGAAATATCCTCTTCATGAAACAAGGCTGGTTCAATACAATTTTCTTTGCTTTTTAAAACTTAAAAAAAAAAAAACCAAACAAATCTATGGGTACAATTTCTTAAACATTCAAATGTGAAACTGCTGCCATTATTGCCAACATATTTTGTAATGGGAACTACAAGCTTGTAGTGGTTTACCAGCATTTGATTAAAAGCATTTTTGGTGAATGAAAGAAACCAGAACTAGTTCTAGGACCCAGAAACATAGTAAAAAACCGATGGTTATTCTTTAGAGCTGATGTGAGATGATTTAACAATATTGACTACCCCAGTACAGACAAGATAAAAGCTGAGTTTAATCCTGTAGCTAATCCTGTTTTTAAAGTAAGCTGTTATCCAAGCCTTCAAATACATCAATGGGGTTTTTTTGGTGGGCTGTTTTTTTTTTCTTCTTCTTTTTTTTTTTTTAAACAAACTGCTGCATGTTCAAAGATTGATAGTTATGCAGATTTAGTGCATTACAAATTCATTAAACTCAGCTGCTGGCTGAAGTAAACATCTAATCTTCCTATAATGCTTGATCCTTACACAAGCGTAACTACTCAAAGACTCATTCCAATGAGCAATTTTCAGAGCAATGCATAAGCATTTTCCAAACAAGCCTAATTATTCACATATATTATTCAAGAAAACCTAAACTGCATCATGACATACCAATTAACCAAAAATCATATTTCAATTAGTATGTCAGCACAGATTATATATATGTATACATGTATAAAATATGTGTGTTCATACACAGATACACATATTTTTAAACATACGTACATATAATGTTATAAAACACCTAATTTATTAGTACTGGATGACAACTGATCCATATATAATGTGCCAAATACATACTTATTACAAATTCAATCTTGATTCAAAACTGTAACCTTAAAGTGTTCTGATCTTCTAACTGTTGTATAGAAAATATTTCATCACTGCCTTCTTAGGGGAAAAAATACAGACATCTATCTATGACGATCTACAGACACAGATAAAAAAAAAAAAAAATACACACAAATTCGTTAATTTTCTTTCTCTCATTACCTGATCGTGGCTTCAGTCCGAAGGGGATTGTGGTGTTTGTAGTAGGGGACATTGTTGGACTTTTATCCTTGTTCTGTGTAATTCAAGAACATAAATCTAAGTGAGACTAGCATCCAGAATATCTCAACACAACTGACAGTATAAAATGCAAAAGTTAACAATACTGCACGCTACAACTATTCCACCATAATCTGATCACAATATAGCCTCAACCCTATGATAATCTCCCTTTTTACTCCGTCCTATTCCTTTGCTGGAAAAGATGAGTTTCTGACCAAAGACTACAAGGTATTTCCCCTAGCTATAAACAAGCTCAATTATTTCTCAGCTTTCTCCTATGTAATCACTTGGTTCCATCAAATATACAGTTTTGTGGCATAGTACATTTCGAAAAACAAACCAAAGACACTTTCTTCCTTAGATATGTTTCTTTCTTTCACAGAAGTATCATTCTGCATGGTATTTTTCCGTGCAACACTGAATTTCTGTCTAAAAAGCAGGAAAGAGGAAGTTAAGCGTATACCTGAGAGTAGGATCACCCTTGACCCTGAACTAGCCTAACAGTTGCAGCAGGAAGAATGGAGTAGCAGCATACAGGAGAAAGTGAGGTATAATCATTATACCACCAACGGTAACACAGAAAGAGTCACGTAACCAAACTCTGTAATAAGAATCCCATTTAAAAAGTGATTCCTCAAGGAGCCAGGAACTATAAGATTCCCATCACCAAGACTCATGGAAAGTGGCTGGGTGCTCATGAATTTGCAAGATGCTCATACACAGTGCAACGTAGAGAGAGAAGCCCTGTTTCTGTACAGCAAATACGAAGGGAAAAAGTCTCCATAAGGAGCTCCCTACAGTTTCCCTTTTTGACCTTCTATTGAGATTCGCACTGTGAAAGTGATAGGGTCAATAGAATCAGACTCCTCTCTAAAAACTAATCAAGGACAGGACATAAGTGTGCAAAAAGAAAGTGCACTGCAATCAATAGAAACTCCTGTGGAACAAGGAAGAGTCAAAACAAGAAAACATGGCAGAATGAACAAAATGTAAAAGAAATCAAATGTTTTATACTAAACTACTAACTCAGAAACAAGCTTATGAGAAATTATAAAAATATTTATACGCTAGTAAATCCTTAAGATAACAAGAATAAACCACAGGCCAAAAAAACCCACATAGCCATTACTGATGAGTGCAGTTATATTTTCTATGATATTCAATTACATGTTTCATTTAGTACATGAACCATTCAACAGTTCATTTAGTATATAAGCCGCTCATATAAAACATGATGATGATGGAGTGACTACATCAGTGGACAAGGGAAGAGCTACAGATGTCTATCTGGACTTCCGTAAGGCCTTTGACACGGTCCCCCACAACATCCTTCTCTCTACATTGGAGAGTGACGGATTTGATGGGTAGACCGATGAGCGGATGAGGAGCTGGTTAGATGGTCACATCCAGAGGACAGTGGTCAATGGCTCAATGTCCAGATGGAGATCAGTGATGAGTGGTGCGCCCCAGGAGTCTGTATTTGGACCAGTACTGTTTAATAGCTTCATCAACAACACAGTGGGATCGAGTGCACCCTCAGCACATTTGCAGATAACACCAAGCTGAGTGGTATAGTTCTCACACCTGAGAGACGGGATGCCATCCAGAGGACAAGCTCAAAAAATGGGCCTGTGTGAACCTCCTGAGATTCAAAAAGGCCAAGTGCAGGGTCCTGCACCTGGGTCAGGGCAATCCCCAGTATTAACACAGGCTGGTGGATGAAGGGATCGAGACCAGCCCTGACAAGAAGGACTTGGGGGTACTGGTGGATGAAAAGCTGGACATGAGCCGGCAATGAGCGCTTGCAGCCCAGAAGGCCAAACGTATCCTGGGCTGCATCCACAGCAGCATTGGCCAGCAGGTCGAGGGAGGTGATGCTGCCCCTCTACTCCACTCTGCTGAGACCCCACCTGGAGTCCTGCATCCAGCTCTGGAGCCCTCAGCACAGGGAAGACATGGACCTGTTGGACCAGGTCCAGAGGAGGGCCACAAAAATGCTCAGAGGGATGGAACACCTCTCCTTCTGAGGACACACTGACAGAGTTGGGCTTGTTCAGCCTGGAGAAGAGAAGGCTCTGGGGAGACCTTATTGCAGCCTTCCAGTACTTCAAGGGGACTTATAAGGAAGATGGGAACAGACTTTTTAGCATGGCATGTAGCGATAGAACAAGGGGTAATGGTTTTAAGGTAAAAGAGGGTAGATTTAAACTAGAAGGAAGAAACTTTTCACAAGGAGGGTGGTGAACCTCTGGCCCAGGTTGCCCAGAGAGGTGGTAGATGCCCCATCCCTGTCAACATTCAAGGCCAGGTTGCACGGCATTCTGAGCAACCTGATCTAGTTGAAGATGTCCCTGCTCCTTGCAGGGGGTTGGACTAGATGACCTTTACAGGTCCCTTCCAACTCAAACTATTCTATGATTTTATGATTCTGTAAGAGATAAACAAATGGTACTAGCATCTTACCTCATTGTGAGAGGTTTGCCCACTTGTATTCCAAACAATTATATCATTCTGCAGATTTGGAAAGAAGGAAAAAAAAAAAAAAGACCATTTCAGCAACTGTTTTAGTGATACACCACAACAGGATATTTTACGCATGATCCTGAGATACACATTAATGCTTAATTCTTTTTTTCACTGAAGCAATTAGTTTTCATGAATAATAAATACTTTTATTGCTATTTGAACAACATTTTAAAAAAATTGTGGAAATATTTGCACAGATTTGTGATTCAATCCTAAGTGGTTATAACTGCATTGTAAGATTTGAATGTTTGTTGGTTCAAATGCACGATGCAATTTTGTTTCACAGACTGTAATTAAACTATCACCAAGAGTTTAATATGCAAATATAGATTTTTAATATAGATCTGAAGAGAGACATATTCTCTAAGCAGTTCATTTTATAAATTGCAATATAACATACCTTTTTTTACTACTTCTGTTACAGTTAAATTGGAAACGTGTAAACCACGTTAATAAATATGAAATACAATCATTAATTCTGCATCAGTCGTAACTCAATCTGCAGAAACACAGCTGGCATAAGTAAAAACAACTTATAATTCAATTTAAAACAATTTTCTTCGGGCCAATTTTTTATCAATAAAAAATGGAAACAAAAATAAAAGATAGCACTTGGAACACTTGGTCCCAACAGTCACAGAGCTTTCCAAAAGTCTGCAAGATGGGAAGGAAGATTACACACCCATTTTGCTTCATGACTTTTCTTGGCTACTTTTCGAGTTCTAAAAAAATTCTTCAGCGTTAGAATTCTTTCATAGTATTACCTCAACCACCGTATTACCTAGAATAAACAGAAACAAATCTTTCTCATCTGATCTGAGCCAGTTCTACCTGGGGACTCGCACATTTGCGTACTCCTGTGCTCAGGGGACTATGCTCTCGTGACATGCCCGCTAGTTATGCCTATGTTGCAGGTCCAATCTCTCTCACAGCATGCAGGTCACTAATAAGAATTTTGCATTTATGCTAAACTGAAATAATTTAGTAACACAAGTGCTTACTGTATTACACAGAATGTAGCATGATTAAAAGCTTGCTCTTGCAAGATGTGTTTCCACTTTGTGGAACGTGCCTACTGCTTTCACCTGCATTAACACAGTCCAGTTCTCAACCTCTACAAGTGTTTAAGAAGATTTATTTCTTCTTTTTACAAGGTTCTTAAAAGTGAATCTTGTTAAAAGTGCCCTTGTTAAGCAGTCCATCAAAATACAGAGACTACACACATTTTGACACTGAATTGGCCTTATCTGTCAATCTCAGTAGTGTAGTAAGAACTGTTCCAAATGAAGTGTGGTAACCCCAACATACAACAACATAATGAAAGAGATGAACCAACTAATTTTTTTTTAATTTGATACTTTAAAGAAAAAAACAAACACAAAATTAAGACTAACAAAGTCACAAGGATATCATGGGAATATTTGACAGTAATGATGATTATACATAAGAATATTTGAAAAACATCAAGATAAACCAGATTCAATCTATGTCTGGATAAGTTAGACCATATTAAGGTACTACCAATATAGACAGAACATTATGTAATTTTTTTCTCTGAAACTTCTTGCAAGAACAGTCACAAAAATCCCTATACAAACAAGTTCTGAAGTAATAACATATGTACCAAATATTTAAATTAATTTTTTCAGAGTTCTTCATTTCTGGATCATTGCAATGTACACAAAACTTAAGTTTAAAACATTCACCTCAACCTATATACAGTCTGTTTGTAATATTAAACACATTAAAAATACTGCTGTTGAAAAAACAAAAATTAGCAGCTTATATATCTATCGGAGTATTTGGGGTGAGAGGAAAAGAGGAATCACATGTTTCATTTTATTGAAGAACTAACTAAATTTTTCCAGGGGAATGCAACCACTGCAATGACTATAATGTTTATTGGAAGAAAAGACGTTTATTAATTTCATTATATCAGGTTTTTCCTGAAAGATAGGTCTTAATCAACTTCTCATTTACAGCCAAACCTTGAGATTTATGTTAAGGCAAAAAACCCCAAAAAACTCAACAGGCCTAAACCCACCATTATCTCCATACACAAATTGATGGAATGTAATGATCCATTCCAAATGTTTCCACACTTATTGTATCTAGACACCTCCATACCTGACTCAACGACCATTTTTCACCCTGTTCACAAGCTCCCACTTCAGGCTTTGCCTTCTCCATAATCAAGTCCCTCCTCCTCTGAAATTCTAGTTCCTCTTCAGCATTTTCCCTCTGTAAGATAAATAACTCTTTAGACTGCGTATCACTAGAAATAGAACTCTTTTTGCATAACATTACCTCAGAAGAATTTCTTACAAATACCGTGATGAAAAGCAAAGTAAGCAGATACTATATACTTGCAGTTCCAGTGCTAACAGGTAGTTAATGTAAATCTAAACAAAGTACATCATACAGAATACCAGTTCACCAGTGAGGATACAGATCAAATAAGCAGCAGCATGTATCACACTGTAAAACTCCAAATCATACTTTATATACTCTCTCTAACTATAGTGACAGCGCTCTGTGAAAACATTAGTTCTTCATTTACAAAATATTTTTGGGTTATTCTTAATGAATGTACTGTTTTCCTACACCAGAACAGGGAGATGGGGTGGGGGAATGGGAGATGAGTATGCATGGCTGAGCTATGAACCACCATACATGAAAGCCACACATGGGGGAAAAAAATCCTAAGATGAAAAAGTGACAGATAAACCCAGAAAAAAATTATAAATAAACAGATAAAAAATAAAAATAATTGCATAGAAATTTTAAAAGAAGAATTAACTTTGTCCTCCATCCTACTAGTTTTTTCCCTTCCCTACTTGGGAATTAATAATTGAGGAGAATGTTGACTCTTTTCCTGTCTTTCCCCCACTCCAATATTTTGTAATAATACACTCATTAACGTACCTGACCAAGGGAAGACATCTCCATCTGCATTTGACCGCTATGTATAAAGATAAACAAATGCAAATATGTAATTCATTGTGTAGTAACTTGAATATGATGAATCTAACAAATGCATTATTTTTTTCTAAAAAAGGTAGATAAACACACTTTACTGTAGATTCCTGAAATTCTAAAGCTGTTCCTGGTTCCATGGGATACAGATTCACACCACTGCTGTCTGAAATATCCATGCTTAATCTGCAAGGTTTGAAATAAAAACATTGCACTGGGGTATAGCTTTGGTAACCATTCTGTTCAGCATTTATTTTCAAACAAATCGATGTGTGAAATACTTTTATAATCATGGTTCTAACCTGCTCAGTGTTATCTCTTTACAACTTTTTGAAATGCCTCCTGATGCTTCACTATCACCAGTTCAGTCAAAGCAACATTAATGCTTTCCTCTGCAAAATGTCACCCTGAGCAACGGCTTGTATCAAAACAAAAGGACCTGTTTACTACCAACCACCGTATCATTATCTAGAAGACTGTAGATCCAACTTCTAGCACTTTGTATTCAATCAGAAGCCGCAGTCCTGGTTAGATACACAAATTTAATTTACAGTGGATGAAAAGAAAGCAGGGCAACAATAAATTCACATACAGACGATGATCTGAAAGCAAGCAGTGCATATAGGAATCTGAAATAAACTTCTGAAAAATACTGAAAAAGGTTGAGTCTGAAATCTTATTTTCCTTCCCAGAACTGAAATGCTGCTTAAGTGCACATGGGTATGCAGATTTGAAACTCTGCAGAACACTAGGACAACACTAACTGGACAAGTGTTGTACAAGTTTAATACTCATATCCGTTAGTGAAGATAGCTCCAACTGATATGTTCTACGCTGAACTCTAGTCAGTGCATGTTAGGCTTGGCATCACCTACTGTTTCAGCCCCTGCAGTGGCTTCTCTAACTTTTAAATCGCCTTCAGTGTGAGATAAGGATAATTCTGGCCAGAGTTAGTTATTTCAGCTAGGTTATCCTGACTAGGTGACCAGTGTTACACTGATGCACAAAGGAAACCTCTTTGGGGAAAGTTACAGTTTTTGACATGCCCTAGGTTTAAGTTAAAAGCACATGCAGGCTTTTGTGCATCTTAAACTAAGGAGCAATGGAAGCATTTAAATTCCTTTGCAGATCTGGATCAAGATACAAAAACTCTTCAGTATGAAAACCAAAATTTTTCTCACACCGCTTTATATAATGCACGTATATAACAAACTGACATGTAATCCAGTAATTACAGAAGGAATGATGAGGAACCCATGGCCCAGAGGATTGAAAGTCTACACCATCATTTGGCAAGTATTAGGCACCCAAGTATATCTTGCTGGGTAAGTCTCTATGTTAACATGCAAAAGACATACACTGAAAAGCTTATTTAGCATTCAGTGAATGAAAAATAAATATTCATGTTTTAAGGTTAAAAAAAGAAGTGCAGCCACAAAAAATCCCCACAACACTATTAAGAAATGCAGTAGAAGAATACAGCCATGCATGACATGATTAGCACTTTTAAAAGCCACATTTCAAATTTACTAATAGTGTTACTAATGAAAGCACATCTGAATATGCATGGAGAAACAGATTAATTTTCTGTATTTTATTGCCCTTTTTAAATTTAATAAGAAAAAACAAATATGTAGGAAATATAGGGGCAATATTTGGAAAAAACAAAATGACAAAATTTTTAAGGCTAACAACTAAAATTTTTTTAATGTCACTTTTTTCCAAACCAGTCTTTTTCCTTTTTTAATTGCACTACTTCTCCCACAAAGTTATAAGCCTCAAATGAGGTACAGAAGCAATGATATACAATCTCACAGAAACCACAGGAACTAAAAAGCCTTCATAATTTGTATGACTTATTGTTAAGCAAAAATATTTGTGTACAAGTATTTAGTCTGTAATTCTAGAATTCAAATATTCTTTATATGATTCAAAATAAAGCCAGATAATTGTCTCTCCAGAAATAACAAGAAGAGTGAATTTCTGTCCTAAAAAGTACAAAGGTCTGCTAGGTGAAAAAGCTGTATCAAAAAAGGTATTTAAACTGAAGAACATGCAGTCGCAAGAACAAATGGCTATGGTGAACTGGCCAAGGGAGGAAGGAGAAACAAGGATACTTTAGGCTGGAGGTGACAAGGAGGTTTCTAGTCTTTAGAGAAGTTAAGCTCTAAACCAGCTACCTCATAGAAGTGATGAAGAAAAATGAGTTACCTAGTTTTGAAAGGAACTTAATCAAGCAAGAGAAGCAACAGCAAGCATCTGGACAGAACTACCTACACCACTCCTATCAATCCTTTTCAGTAGGACTAGCATTTATTTTCTTTTAAATATGTATTCCTTTGTTTATGCACAGATCCAGAGTCATTCCACCTGACTTCAGCCACTTAAAACAGGCACCTAAATTGCAAAACCTTGCCTTCTGTAGTCAGGGGGAATCTAAAAATCTAAATAATTTTCTCTAGCTGCCTCTTTCTCCCTCTGCTTTTGATTTCAGAGGGAGACTACAGAAACTCCTCTGCTAATTCAGGAACCTCCTTTATGTGGTCCATTAAGATGGGATGAAACCGGGCCAGACGACCTTCTCCAATCCCCACAAAATATACCAAACATTAATAAGTAGAGGGGAGTTTATAGTCCCTAGAAGAAAAGTGACTATCTTAGACAAAACTTCAGAAAATCATAGTAATGTACACAGGATGAATGGTTAAGAGGTGCCTAAATTATACTAAATTTCTTTTAATCTCAAAATCCTTCTTAATGTACTGGGTATCTTGTCTAGATACTGAGAGAATGCAAGTCTCCTCCTTAACTATCTAAGCGCCCCCTGAAAAACATCAGTACGCTAACAAAGCACTTTGTAACTCCAGAGAACTTTTAATTATCGTTTAAAACAGAACTCTACAGTCACTCACAAAAATTTTAAATACATGACATTAACACATCAGCTATTGTAAGTGTACCTGTTGGGATCCTGTAATAGATCTACTGCTTCTCTTAGTTGTTCTATCATTGCTATATCAATAGTTTGTTCTTCTGATAAATTTATTCTGTAACAGAAAACAAAAGCATTCAAAAAAGAGGTACAACAGCAATTATCAAGGATAGTCTGAATTTCAATTTGAGCTGTATCTTCCAGCTGGCATGCAAAGACTATAGAGGGGAAAAAAGTCAGCCTCTGTGCACACTAGTATGTGCTGAATTTACTAGTTTCTTCTGAAGAAATCCTCTAGCACTTTGTCCGTAACAAATCCCCCCATCCTAATACATAAACAAATGTGATGAACTGAAACTTCTAGCATTCAATTAAACAGATTTCTAAAATTGAAAGTTTATTTACCAATATTTAACTCTTATTAACTGCATTCGTCATGTGTATTGTTTTTACACAAGTATTAAATACAACAGTTTTTTTAATGGACCAACATGCTTCCTTTTGCTTTTCAACATCTGTAGTTCTTTTTGGGGTTTAGAAACACAACCACCTGTTAGTTCTGCCAATAAGGCTCTTTCAGAAAGTAGCTATTCTTCCCTTCCTTCAGTTTTTGTTTTTAAATCAACTTCACAGTACAGCCATGCTAAATTCTTTTCTCTTATGCACTCTCCTCAGCAACTGATGTTCACTTGCTCTGCTCTTGAATTAATGGCTATGAATTAATGATTGCTTCAGGGTTAAAATTATGACAAAATAAGAAAAAAGATTGAGGTATTTTTTCCAATTAAATTACATTTTTTAAAATGTACATTACATTTAGATCTTACAAGTCTTGATAAAATGCCATTAACAGACAAAATATCAAAATACCTAATTAAAAAGCTTGCACTCTACCTAAGTAAAATTATTACAGCATTATTGGTGCATAAAAATTATTTAGTTGTAATGTAACACCCACTTTATTCCACAATAATGTGTAAAACATTAAGCACACACATAAAGTGCAAGGCTGTGCTTCTGTCATGCCTTCAAGTCTACAAAATTATTAACTGATAAGGAAATACCAGTTCTGGTTAATCTAATGAAATGACACAGCTAATTACTTACAGACACATGAAAAATACTTACATTTCGTCTGTTTGCCATTGTGTGTCCTCTTCTATTCTCAGTAATTCATCACACTCGGCTGCTCTGCTCTGTAAGTGAAGTGATATAGAGAACTGAACTTTGCAATAGGCAGATAAATTTTGCTTTCAGCTCTGACCTAATTTATGTAACAGTTTAGGGTGGCTAGTTGCAGCAATCCAACACTTCCACTCCACTCCTCACTCTACCCCCTTTTAAGATACTGATTACAAGATCTTCTATTCACTGTTCAGATTTTATTGAGGTCAACAGTCCTTACCCTCCTTTAACTGTAAGAAGTAGTCAAGCAGCATGAGAATTCTTTATTCTATGTCCCAGATTTCATTTCTGCTTTTCTGGTGTATGCAAACAATGCTTCAATTAAGCATGACCCTAACTCTCCTCTCACTTGCTCTCCTCCCACAGCTAGATTTGTTTACAAAGCAAGGAAATTCCAAGTATGCAAACAGTAGGAGCTATGTACTTCATCCATAATTATTAACAGGATTCCTACTTGACAATTTTAGCAGCCCTGAATAATTTTTTTTCTAAAAACAAATCAGAACAAAATCTGTGTGCAACAATTCAGATCAGTCAGCCAGTTATTTGGGGTTCAATGTAGGCAAATTACAAGCCCTCAGTGTCCTACCTATAAGTCTTATTAGAAAACTTGACCCTCTCTTTTATGCTTCCATTTGGTGCTTTGCAATTTTCTTTTCTCTTTCATCTCAGATAGGCAGAAACACAGCTGCCAGCAAAAAAAGCAGCTCTCTGACTGGACGTGCATTTGTGCTAGTAGAGAATAAACAGAAGAAAACAGAGAAGCTTATCCTCTTCTGTGTCATGTGGTTAGCACATCAGTCGCATCACTCTGTACCAATAAAAGCTATCCAATTCTGCCAGATGTGTCACTGTTTAGTGTACCAGCTTCTCAAACAGTCCCCAAAGATGGCCCAATTCCCCAGTAGAATGCATAAAGCCATTCTTTATCTTTTTTTCCTCCTTACAGGAATGAAGGACATGATTTTTCCCCATAAGAAGGGCACATATCATAAGATAATGCAGCAGTTATCCTAGAAGGTGATCCTCAGTCTCTAGGCATAATTATACAGATAAAATAAACAAAGCCATATAAATTAGGACTAACATTTGAAAAATTACAAAATCCTCCAAGCCTAAGCTCCTCTTTTGAGCTGCAAGTCGTACTGATTTTATGTATGGTTTGGTTAACCAGAATTTCAATTTTAGAAGACCCCCACTGTACCAAAAGGCATTCCAGTACATGACTGAATATAAACCAGAGAATACAACAGACTCAGAAATCCGCACAAGAAGGAAGATGCCCCCAGTTCAAAATCCTCAGAATAAAATTCACGTACTACCTGTTCAAGTCACCTACTGCTGATCTCAATTGCCATAATGTTATGAAGATAACAAAATTAAAAGAAATGAAACTGCTCCTTCTAACAATATTCTTATACTGAAATTCAATAAAGTAACCTCTATTTTACTGAACCACTGTCTGCAACACATTATTTCAGACACTATTATCTTATTATGATAGAGGACATTCCTGAGGGAATAGTCTTCAAATGGTACGCTTCTGAAAATCAAGACAATGAAGTGAGAGCAACAAGGAGAATACAAAGTATATACGTAATAATGTAAGGTTAGCTTCAGATGTGCATACTCCTTTGTCAGGGGAAGATGAAAGTATTCTATCCCCCTTTACGTAGTTCATTCACCTCAAATATGTGCAGCTGCTGAAAATTTGTAGATTTTTCTCCATACTAGAGAATTATGGGCAAACGGAACTCCTAGATTAATTATAATCAATTTAAACCTACCTGCTTATTTTTGCCTTCCATATCTTTTGAGACAATGAATACCAATTGCATTCTCTTATTCATTAAAATATTGGCAGTTTGTCATCCCTGTTTGCTCTATAGTGAAGATATTTCCCCCACTTAAAATTGCCACAAACTTGCCTTAATGTAACTCATAAATTCAGTAGTAAGAGTATCCGATTCATCAAACTGGTTTCCTGTTTCTCTTGACTTATCATTGACGATCAAGTGAGAAGATCCCTGATGGAATTCCACTAGTAACAACAATAAAACAAGATCAAAAAATTACTTCTGGTTCAGCTCAACATTTGTTACTCAATGTAATTGAAGTGTATTAAATTATAGAGCTCAAAATCAAACAAAGTTTAAACTCAAAGCATACTAAAAACTTCAAACAAGTTAAGCCTTTTGCATTTTAAAGAGTGATGCCCCTTCATTTCAAAGTTGTAATAAATCAATACCTTGGGCTCATACAGCTGTAGATCAGAAGCACCACAACAGGCACTGATAGAGTCAGTTTTGAACTACACCAAGTATGTCTTGCCAGTACCAGTACAAGAACACAGCTGGACAGCTGCAGAGTATTTTAAGACATTCAGATGTCTCATCCAGTGACTTGTAGTTTAATGCGACTTCAGAGTTTTAATGTTGTAACACCCAAACTCTTAGCAAAACTCCAACAAAGTAATTCAGAACCTTCAGAGCCTATGCCAATCTCTTATTTACATATATTACTTCCAGGGATATGAGGCAGTAATAATTTTCTCCTCTGTTTTAAGTGGTCTGATCCTATAACTTAACCTCCCCAGTGTGCTACTAAACACTACAGGATGCAATGCTCTAAGTATCCCACTTCATATTCTACTAAATTCTGATGAGTAGCTCAACTGAAGATCATTTAATCGAGTATATAACACTGGGGAAAGGCTGATCGTCTGCTATTTATGTGGTTTCCATATGCAACTCACTTGACTTCATCTTGCCATTTATCATTAGTATGGGCAGACCTTGGAAAAACAATGTTTATCAGTATATTGATATAATTCAGAAAAATGTACGTTATTTTAATAAAATTTAGATAAAATTACCCTTTCTCTCAAAATCTGAAGATATTTACTTCTTTCTAGAGGTAATGCGGACTTTGATTAATAAAGCTTTATATAGGCATTGAGTCCAACTACAAAAATGGACTCTGCTTTTGTACATTATTAACTCAGAATCTGAGTTAGCATTTGATAAAAGTTATTATGACACATTGGTATTACTGGTTGGGAAGCATGGTTTAAACCAACTCTCACTTTTCTTCCCTCTGTCCAAACCAGAACTTATTAACTCTTGAGACAAGGTGGAACAAGTTCATTGGAATAGCTACAGAAAATGTCTATAAGGATCTCAGTTCACTGCAGTTAAAAATGTTCTACGTAGCACACTTTTTTTTTTCTTTTTCAGATGACTGTATTATGCATGCTCAAAGCTTTTTGGGTAGGCAGACATTTATTACAAAAATAATTTAAATGCATAGGGCAGTGAAAATACCTGTTGTTTAACTAGAATATCAGTAAGAAAAATCAATTTAATAAGGCATTTATCCAGGGCAAAAATTAAACACTGAAAATTCCAAGGAAAAATAGCAGTAAGTAAAATAGACCTAATTTAAAGATGATGCTTGTAGAATCCTGAAAGATTGGTGCTTGTCAGCTGTGATTTTTGCAAACTGAATTTACAGTCTTACGCATAGAATTACTGACAGGATTTCCTAGTATTTAACTTCCACTTTTTTTACATTCCAACCTTTTCTTGAGTTAGCATGGTGACCTGAATCTTCTTTTAAAACCTGATCTTCTTCTACGATGTCTGACATCGGAACATTGAAGCTGACGGTATCTTCATCCGATGGCTAAGAAGAAATAAGAGAAAACTCGGTTTCAGCTTAAACCAACATTGATAAAAATGTACATATTAAGAAGAGTGCTGAGAGGTGGGAGACTAATATGGGAGAGGATACCAGAGCAACTAACATGACCAAATCCTGACTCTTCTCCCCTACATTACCATGCAGCTTGTTCATTTAATGCTTAAAGCAAGCAAGATAAACTTTGTAGGCTGAGGCAGTATCTTTTATTAGATTAACTGGCAGAGCTGAATAAAAAGCATAAACTCTCAAGTGTACTAGCTTTTCTTCACTGACTTAGAAGCTCATCCATTTTTTTCAGCTATATTAGTTGGTACACTAAAACACATTACTTTTATCTACAAGCTTGTCCTGTCTATGACTTTACAGATAGTGGCTACACAAAGAAGCACTGCCAGAAGCCTTCACTTCTGTCTCATGCAACTAGGGCTCTGCTGTTCTGCAGGACCAGCAGTGACCTGCTCACATTCTCTTCTGAGGTGAACTCCAGCGGAAACACATTCTGCAGAAGAGGCCAAGTTTTTATTCTTGCTCTCCTGAGCTTACAGCAGTCTCCCAGAGCTTTGCAAATGTATTTCCCAACAAACCCACTGGTGTTGCACATTCTTTAGACGCTCTGTGTTTCTGTAACTCGCTACTCTGTGCACACATATTCCATACATGTATTCTGTAATTATAACTGCTATAATACATATATAGTCGTTTGTTTCATATTATTGTTTTTTAACCCAGCGGGTAGCTATATACTGGGCATGACAACATATGGCATGGAATATCCCTTTGGCCAGTTTGGGTCAGCTGTGCTCCCTCCCAGCTCCCCGAGCACCCCTGCCTGCTGGCTGGCCGGCCAGAGCAGGGGAACCTGGACAGACCTTTATATGGTAGCATCAGCTGAAAACATCAGCATGTTATCAACATTACCCCAAATTCATCCCAAATCCAAAACACAGCACTACACCAGCTGTCAGAAAGAAAATTCACTCTATCCCAGCTGAAACCAGGACACATGTTCTTTAAGAATATATATTTTTATGGAAATGCTATTTCCCCATTTATCAGTTCTGCCCTTTGTAACACAAGATCTGCAATGGAATGGGAGATCATTACGTACAACCAGTCATTCAATTCCACAGTCACTGGCTTCTAGTAGAATTATGCTATTCTTGCTACCTTTATACATTCATACTCCATGTAGAAATTATTTTTTTTTAAATCCTGAAGCTAAGGTTTGTGATAAGGGATGGAGCAAATAATTTTGCTCTTAAACTGTATCAAAGATATATGTAGTTATTCCTATTTGCCAAGAATATTCTGGATTTAGAACAGTTTGTAAATGTGGACCACCATAAATATTGTTCTTTATGAATAAACTGTTATTAACCATGTTATTAACTCTACGAATTCAGTGCCTGTATTATTCTGCTTAAAGTGAAAAAATTCAAAAGGATATTCAAGGACTTCATAAAGCCTTATCAAAATGAAGATTTATAATGAAGTGAGCTAACGTTGCATACTATTCCTATTTGTCAATTTTTAAAATAAGTTTTAAAATTTAAAATAATTTTAATTTTAAAACTAAACAAATTAGTATCTCAAACAGAAAATAAGCAAACCACACTCCAAGTATGAGGCACTAGTTCTTTCAGACCTGAAACAATAATCTAACAGCTTTAAAAAAAAAGATATGCACAGTATAAATTCATTCAGACAACCAAGGTTACAGTGAAGTTCCTTCTCTTTCTTTCAGACTGTATCTCATGTGACATTTGAGCACTAAATTTAGTTATTCTAGATCAAAGAGTCATGTTTTGCTCATTTTGCAACTATCATTTGAAAATATAAAAAAAAATTCTTAAATGCATTATTACAAGTTCTGAATGCTACAACAGCCAAGATTTTTTTCTTAGCAGAGTAACACACACAACTTTTAGGAAAATATTTTGGCATGTTGGTGTTATAAAAAATAAAAAGCCATGGGTCATTCAATTTCGAAACAGAAAATCATTCCTTTAACAGGCTATGTGCCACTTTCAGGGCCTACAGAATTCTGCAATTGATTTTCCAGGTGCTTCCTGCCAGTATACTATGAAATAAAAACTATCCAAAGTAGCTTGCAATAATACAAAAGTATTCACTGGTGAAATACTGTACTCACTTTCTTTGTCCACAGTTTTATTTTTATTCAGCTAGCAAGAGAAGACGACAATAGACATATAAGAAACAGAAATACAAGGATGAAGGGTCCAATTTTCATTTTAAATTTCTAACATTATTCCAACACTGAATTCAGATGATGCATTTGGAAAGAATCTTCATACACATTCTTGCTGGTACTAAAGCATCATTCTTATGGGTAATGAATCAGGGATGCCATCTGGATCTTAACGAGTACCCTGTTGCTCTAATGAATTTTAACTAAGGAAAAAATAAGGCCAAAGGGAGGTGGAAAACGAATAAAAATGCTGCACTGTTTCTAAAAGATGAGGTACATGAGTGCACTACCATAAAGCAGAATTTGCCTTCAAGTTGCCACAATCAGTTTTACAGCAACACTAGGAGGTATCTTTCACTTGAAATGCCCAAGATGACCATAGCTCTGAAGAACAGACCCTGTAATGACCCTACTAACAAGCCAGACAGAAACATGTCAACATTTCGTCAAGTACTCCCTCCTATGTATGGACCCAAAGCTAATGAGCAAGCTTCCTAAAAACCACATGAGTATTCAACCGAGGATTCATGTAAGGTACTTGGTTTCTCTAAGGTACTTTTTTTTTTTTTTTAAGGTGCTGGGTTTTTTTTCAAAGTAACGGGGTTTTTTTAAGTTACACAAATGCAAATGACTTTGTAGTATCTTCTGTGAAAGAGCTGAAACTCAACAGCCACTAGCCTTCAGATTAAACTGTAGTTTGTTTTTATATGTCTGATGTATTTATAAGAACCCTCCAAAAATGTGTTTTAATGATCACTTTATGACTGATCATTTAACACTTATCTAATGTTTGGTATAGATTTCTGATCGCAATTAACTGATCGCAATTCAATGTATGCGAATACGTACTTGCAACATGATAGTATTTCTTGCAGAATTCTCATGTGTAATACAAGTATTAAAGGTTGTCTCAGAAGCAAAAGTGAGTGGTGAATTTACTATCAAACACATTTGGGGTTACCTATCTCCACATCTATTCTCTCCTTAATAGTAGACCAGTAATCAGGCAAGCACGGAATGAGTAAATAGTTGTCATATAAAAAGTCTTTGTGCTCATCAGAATGTATTGGTTCACTGTTGGTTGTCTTTAAAACAATTTTTTTCAGCATTCTGATTGCTACACTTTGATTACACAAAAGAGGATCTATTTTCTAAAGCTGTTATTTATAGCTAAAGATGAAATTCTGGAATAACAGTTTCATTAACAAGCTAACACAGCTTCAAGCAGTGCAAAAATGGCAAAACAGTTTGTAAGCCTCTCTAAATGGACTGCATGCTCTAAAAACTAGAGGGAAACCATGAGAAGTCTGGCTGAAAGAATCACAGTAAGTCTGTTTCATTTCCATCTAGCAAGAAACTTGCCCAAATACTTGGAAACCGTTGTGGGTTAGGTTTAGTGTTTTTGTATTTAACAGACCCATCAGTACGTAAGTGGATTAATTTTCAATTTGCTTTTGTAGTAACTACTAATTCAGTATCTAAGCTTGATTATACATTTGTTCCAAAAGCAACAGCATCTCCTTTCCTCAAAGGAGGAGAGAAACACTAAAGAATCAGTGTGAAATTGTTTTAAGTAGCAAGAAGTCCATTCTTTTATTGTGACATGAATATTTCCCATTAGGTCAGACCACAAATCCTGTTACTTGTACATTTCAGAAAGACCATTACTGAATTACACTGCAAATTGTTTACTTATTTCTCATTCATTCAGTTCAAGTCCAACTAGATTTAGTGCCCTGTTCAGCTGAGCAGTGCCTCAGAAAAAAGGTCTAGGAAAGTCAGCTATAACTGCTTAGAACAACACTAGTCTCAGAAAGCCATCCTTTCTCTTTGTTCAGTCAGACAACAAAGTTCAGAAAAAATTTTGAAGTCTTATTTCCAGCACTGCTTAACTGCCAGACCCTGTAAACGCATGAAGATCTGCAAAGTTTCTGAAGTACCTTCACTACAGCAAACTGCCCTAACCACGACACCACAGAACATAGTTCACACTGAACTCCTGTTAATTCCCAAGAGGAAAGAGTCATCAGTCAAAGAGAAAACACATGAGAAGCTGTCAGGTGTGTAACCCATTAGGACATTTACTTCACCACAAACAGCAGACGTGAATCCTGGTTTGGGCCTCATTCTCTAGATTATATGAACTACAGTGAATTTTCACTATTGGCAGGTTGTTGACTACTTGTAAGCATCTCACTGCCCTTTCCAGAAAGCGTACATACAAAAAAACCCCACCCAAAACCAAAACCCCCGTCTTTTTTTTACCTTTGTTTTAACCATTTCTTAATGAGAAATTAATACCAAGGATGTGGTTGCACAGTTTTAATGGCTAAAAATGTATTCACATCGTTAACCAACTTAAAATATAGGCAAAATATGGGTGTGGAGGGAAGGGAAGCTGGATGCAAAATTCGGGCAACTTACCTCTGTTGCTGACAAACGTTTATCTCCATTATCACTACCGACACCTGAATCTGAGTCCTTTTTACTTGGGTAGATGTCGTCAATGCTAGATGTGAATAAAAATTAAAACAAAACAATAAAAAGCTATCATAGCATTTACCATTAGAATTCTGTCCTGGTTTCACTTAAAGCAAAATTACAACCAATCTTAATGGTAGAGGGTGAAATAGCCTAGTATGGTTGAAAACTACACATTTGCAGTCTGGTGATAATAAAATAGATCAGATGGAATGGCTGGTTAGCCTAATGATTAACGAAAACAACAGAAATAATCTGCTATAAATCTTGCTTTTGTCTCTACATTAACTAGTAACTAAGTGCTTTTACCTTAGTAGCACAGGAGTCTGACTGAAGTCATTTAGCCATGGGGTACGCGACTAAACTATCTGAACTCAAACTGGAGTCAACAGATTTAATTGTAACTATTGATGCATTAAAAATGAACTGATATTTCCCTGCGGCTTGAGGTAATTATTAACACAGAAACCTCGTTTTGGTGCTTTAAAATAGACTGTGAAATTTAGGTTTTTAAGAAAACTACTATAATAATGGCATTGGTATATGGCATGTAATAATGGCTTCTGGTTTCATTACCTAGTATGACCTCTACTCATTTTGAAGTACACTATTAGATGCAATACGCTCATCATCTAACTTTTTTTTTTAAATATGCTTTATTATCCTCTTATTTGCAATCCTGAAAGCAGTAATCCTGAATTCAGATTGACACAGCAGCTTAAAAAAGAACTTTATTAGTCTTCACATGAATAAGGTATCTGATTAATCCTAATCTTAAATTATCTTTTATCAGTAAACACTAAGGATTTTGAGTAGAAACTGCATATGGAAATCCTAACCAGGTCACGTCCTTTCTTTAGAAGTCTGAAGTTCTAGAAGTTATCCTCTAAAATAAAAATGTGGTACTTATAATGTGATAGAGCATTATGCTGTCGGTTACCAACTGGTATCTGCTCTGTACTATCCCCTTACCCCAACCTGTATGCTCCTACATGACCAAAGTGTCATACAGGACATAACATTCCTGTCAATTTTCTGGTATACTTAAAGTACAAAACAGCAGATGTTTCCCAAATGGAAAACTTACTCTTCATCCTGGATTCTTCTCACTTTTGACATTTATCTGATAAAAAACCAAAACGGTGTCTCCAAACATACATAGAGGAAAACAAGTTGCTTGAAACCTTATCTAAATGACTGACAGGGAGATTCCATGACAGTCGTTTTTTCTTTTTTTCCCCAGAGTGTTAGCAGCAACACCTCTATTTTTATTTACATCAACACTTTGTTTTTATTGAGTAATTCTCTCAAAAAATAAGACATTATTGTACTTTCTCTGATTATTATTCTTCCTACGGTAGCAAAGAAAGAGTTGGCTAATAACTGGTTTCCAATTAGCTATAGAGAGTCTCATAAAAAGGAGCTGCTTCATATCTAGTTCCTGTCCTTAGGCCACCATACAAGATGACATTTCCTAGATATTTCATGTAAGACATTAAAGATTTTGCCTTTCATTTTGCTAACAAATTAGCACATTTCACTTTAAAAGGGTCTCAACATTCATGCAGTTCTCTTTGCTGGATGGATAAACCTCTGGATGAATAAGAAAGCTTAAAACAACTATGCTACAAATGTAGAACAATATATAAATCACAAAACAACATAAGAACTAAAAACTTATTTAATATCTTAATAGATTTACAAGAAAGTTCCAACACCTGATACTACCATCTCAATTAGTTTCAATACATTCCAGCAGTCTACTAGTAAGAGGTTAGATTTAAATGAAGGTTCACTTCTAAGCTCTTTCCTAATGTGCTGCTAACTTCAATGAGAACTGATTGTTTAAAATATTTTGTTTTAAACTCTTATAGGGATTTCACTAGAATAAAATATGTTAAAGCAAAACAAATCTCTGTTCAAAAAAGTACACTCTAAATAGCACCTAAACAAAAACAACTCTGGAAGCTAAAGATACAAATACATTCACTTTGTTCGTAGTGTTACATGAAAAAACTAAGTGAAATTTTCATACATACCTCTCTTCCACGGGCTGTGGCAAATGCTGTTGTTCTATGGCATTAAGATACAATGAGTCTGCTGTTTTAATCTGACAGGCCTGTACAGTCAGATATTTGAATATATGCACCTTACCCTTCGTACAAATCTGTTAGACAAGGAAAAAACTTGAATGAAAGAAGTAATTTATTCCAATGTCACTTAGCGTAAAACTCCCTGAAAACGAACATCATAACATCACAATAGATATTACATAAAGGAAAATGGTTTTTATTTTTTTTAATTACTAAGAAATACTTCAATTAACCAATCAATTAGTTGTGTGTACTAGCATAAATATCCTCAGATAATAATATAGAAAACAAGAAAAGAATGTATTCTACTTAAGAAAGTCCAAATGAGCTGAGCTTTTCACTCAAAAAGAATTACAATAAAATATATTGTAGGGCCTACTACTAACCATAAACTGAATTATTGTTTTCCAGAATTAGTCAATAATGACATTTAATTAATCAGTATGTCCTTTATTCTCTTAGTCACACTGTTTTTACTTGTGACCAAGCATCTTTATGGTGCATTTCACCTGTATTTTAGAACTTTTTTCTTTAACTGCACACTTCTAGCTCAAGTGCTTGCTGAAACTTGCTCTGTATTTTTTGAGTATAGGAACAGCATCACCATAGATTATGAAAAGCATTTCTCTGACATAATAAAATCTCTCGCGTATTTCAACAGCTGTTGATCTAGAACAATTGTAGCTTTCAGAGATGTAGTTTGAACCTACTGTCCAGTAAGTCAACAACAAAAAGCTTGTCCTTAAGCAGCAAGCACAGGTTCCATTGATTTCTTATCATCATTTCTCAGCATGGCTTACAGTTCAGAAGAGGAGGTTGATTTCTTTGTGTATCACCATCTATAAACTTACACTATAAATTAAAATAAATTTCAAACAGGATTACATTCCAGACCGTCTGCATATTTTTAAGTTCATAGTAAATCACTATAGAACCCTCTAGAATTGGGCTCATTAACAAAGAGAAAATTTATTCAGGAAGTGTCTCAATTCACTTTTTCAGAATTATATACATATTCCAACATTGTTTCATATGCAGACAGGAATGACAAAAATAAACAGGCAGCTAACAGAATGGAAATCTTTTAGACTCATGTTGGTTCAAGTGGTGCACAGATTCATACATAAATCATATGATATTTTCTATGTCTTATTTATATATCAACAACTAATGTCTGTGATGACTGAAGTTCAGAAGCCTGCAATTGCAGAAGGTGACATCTTACAGGCTATAGTTTGTTATTGTCCACCCAATATTAAGGCACACTTTACAGATGTTACTTACTTGTGCTGGTGGAGACTGCAAAGGATTATTCTCAAGCAGCAATACTTGTAACTGCACCATCTTTCTAAAACAAATTGGAATCACAAGCACTTTATTGCAGGAAAAGTCGAACTTTACCAAGGGAAGCTGCACTAGTTCTAAAAGTAACAAAAAAAAAGAGAGACGGTGTTATACCTGTATTTATTTTTGCCGTAAAATAATACATTATTTCTGAAAAAACTTTCTTTTGCGTTCAGGAAAAATAGAAGCTTAGGCAGGAATACCATCAATGTTTATTCCATTCTATACTGGGAAATGAACAGAGTGGTGGTATTATACAAGGCAGTAAACTTTAAAATAAATACTTTGATTTTTTTTTGCCTGAAATTCAGCTGACAGCTCCCATACTGCATTCGCAGAAAAGTATTTGTGCAACTTAAACATGCCTAGAATCATAAGGATAATTCATTTTAAAAAATAAGGATAATTAATTTTAAAAAACCTCACAGTTATTTAGTGAGTACCACTGAATGTTATATTCTGCAAGCTCAAATTGGAAGAAATTCAAACACATGGTAATCACTACTTTTCAATCACATTTACTTACATGATAAAAAATACTTTCAAAATGCTAATAGAAAGAGCTACCCATGAAGGTATTAGGATTTTTTTTTTTATTGGTGGGGTTTTGTTTGTTTTTTACCTTGGGGTAAAACTTCGAGGTAATTTCTTCTGACATTCAGTTCTTTTAAAGATTTCAGCTGGCCTATCTGCTGTGGCAATGCTGTGATTTCATTACAGCTGACATCCTACAGCAAAAGTAACAGAAATAATGAACTTTTGTCTCCTAAATATTAAATAATACAGAAATTGTGGCTAATTTGCCATTATTATAACATTTTATTTACCTGAAAACATGCAACCATCTATGTTCTGTCTACACAGTGCAAAAATAGATACATGACAAAATGTTTACACCTCACTTAAAACCCAGAGCAAACACTTACTTGGAGAACAAGTTCATTTAATTTCTATAGAAGCATTCAAAACCATTTGCTTAATATGTTCTACCTTTTTGTTCATAACTTTTGTTCATATGAAGAACTCAGTACCATGATTATGTAACCAACTATCTTTGGGTGAAGTATAAAACTGCTACTGTGTGGATCTGATTTTCTAAAACGTTCCTGTTCTTCTAGAGGGACTATTTAAGCAAGAGGGGAGAAAAAAAAAAAGATAAAACAGTAATAGCATTCTGTAATGATGCTCAGGAAAGGTGTATGTTCTATTATCACATCAAATAGGAGGACATAATAAAGACAAGTCTTGCTTAGTATTTTACAGATATTCAACATACTGATGTAAGAGGTACTTCTTAACAGCTGAGACTGGTTCTAAGCAAGGCTGATTTTGATGGCTAAATTCAAACAGTTTTATTATCTGGATGAAATTGGGACCTGTCCTCATTTCAGCATTCCTAAAACAGCAACTGCCGTAAAGCTGAGTTGAAAGTATAGGGTCTGCCTATACTGAGCATAATTTCAAGGAACAAGTTTATATACCATAGTATTACTTCATAAATATTATACTTTAACATAATTTCTAACATAAATGGCTACAAATATGTACTGAAGATCAACTTCTTGGATTAAGTTAGTCTAAAACCAGACAGTCTTCAAATACTAGCTATCACTTTTACTGCCAAACTGCCTATACTCAATGCAAAATCAAAAGGACCTTGAAACCTCTGCTTACAACCCGGGTAACCTGTAAATTTGAGTAACATCCCAATTATGCTTCCCAATTATGCATTAAAAAAAGGAAACAGTGTTTCATTGTATGAGAGCTAAGTGGGGAATCTTCCTGACGAGCCAAAGGAATACTTTTAGGATGTCCACCCCTTACCCTCTTGATTGTTTCAAATTATGGATGTATACAGTATCTGGGAGCTCTTAGACTACAAAATTCCTAAAAGTCACTCAGATTTACAAGTCACCTCTTTGAAGACTGTTGCTTTAATACTAGTCAAAAGTGTTATTCTAACACTATCTTCAAGTCTAAAAACTAGTTATCAAAAAATGATAGCAAAAGCAAAATGTGATCAGGCAATGCTGCCCACTGTACCAGATAAGTTTCTTCTCATAACAGACTCTCACTGCTGCCAAAGCTTCCTTCCTTTGTCAAAACAGAGTCAGGAAATCATTTTAGCTTTTATAGGAGGAAATTAAAAATCCCAGTTAATGAGTGCATCTTTTGCCTAAGTTGCCACAAAGTATTGTTAATTGCACCATTCCCAGATCATTTATTTTTAAAGCTTTACTGTCCTATTTTTAATTTACAGACTTTAAACAACTCCGTAATTAGATACTCAATTTTTAGAGGACAAAATTTAAATTTAAAGTCACCTTGTGGCAGAGAAACTCTAGACCAAGTGTACTTATGCACACACATCAGAACAAGTCAGGAAAAGAGAGAATTTTAAAGAAAGTGGCAGGGGGGAAAGCCTGGCAGTGTGTAGCCTCAAAAACAAAGTGCACTTACATCCTTTCAAAACATCCTCAATAAGACTGATCTGTTTTGACAGCATGTCAGCATTCAAAAGATCTCTAGAGACAGTAGTATCCTTTATCATAGAATCATAGAATGGTTTGGGTTGGAAGGGACCTTAAAGATCATCTAGTTCCAAGCCCCCTGCCATGGGGCAGGGACACCTTCCACTAGACCAGGTTGCTCAAAGCCCTCTCCAACCAAGCCTCCCCCACCCAACACTTCCCAGGGATGGGGCATCCACAGCTTCTCTGGGCAACCCGTTCCAGGGCCTCACCACCCTCGTCGTGAAGAATCCTACTAAATACTGCAATCCAGCATTTTTTCTATTATTTTGTTTGAATAGCTGTGGAAAACAAAGACCTATAACATTATTTCTAGTTATACCTATGGTCTTGACTATTATTAGACTTCATGAGTGTGTGTGTGTGACAGTGTTTATCTTTCTCATCACTTTGGCAGTAATGGAAATACCTATGATTTTCAGGCTAATGATTTTTTTAAAGAACTACATAACCAGCAGTTTGGAACTTCATTTCATAGACATCTGCAAACAACTGAAATCTGAACACCTATTCAAGTTCCAGGGTCTAGTGTGTGCTAAAGGTCAGACTTCTTGCATTAATTCTATTTTGTCCTGCCATGACAACACAGACAAAATTTCTCAATATGAGAGAAATGTCAGATGTATTTAAATGTAACCTTAATTTCTGTGGCATGAAGCTCAATGGCATAAAACCAAATAAAAAGTATCAACAATTTTCTTTGGCTTATGGTAAATTTTAAAAGGACTTAAATCAATAAAATTCAGCAAAACAAATTCGTTACTGTGGCTCCATATTAACATATTTATTGACAAACAGAAGTTCATCCAAACTTTACAAATTGAGGTAAATTTCCTCCTTGCATCCATTTTAAAACTTTGGACTCCTGAGATGTTATTTCTAATAAGCAGGTGGATTCTGTCAGAGCTTGTGACATACAAGCCATACAGAATGGTAAAAAGAAGTTGCACGGTGCATGAGCACATGGATCCTTTTAGGAAGCAGAAGGCAGCAGGTCCCACCTGGTCAGGCTGCTGGCTCAGATTAGATGAATGAGGTGAAGGACCTACATCCCTGCTGAAAGATTTAAGGGCTTCCAGTGTGAGACAGGAGCATCCCAGAGATGGAGAAGGCTGTTCCCTGGAGAAGGCAGAAGTGCAATACAGCCCAACAGGATGGAGAACAGAATTTTACCGTACAACTGATAGTTTGGGGTGCAATTAATGAGTCATCACTGCCCGATTACTTTTCGTTGATGGAAAGTACATTTCAGATTATCTTCACACAGTTTTGCATTCATCCTCCTGGCTGACAGTAGAGGTATGATCGAGTTATGCAGCTGCAAATAAAAGTAAGTTTCCCAACAAAATTTTGCAAATAATTTAAATATATCCTACAGGGAGAATAATTTAGTGTTATTTTGATGCTTTTAAGATAGCTGTCAGATCCATATAACCCAGAACCATAAAATTTAAAAGAATACCTGCAAATTTACTGCATGTAATATCTAAGTCACTATATATATTTCATACTTGTGGCATAGAAATTTATACATGTAATTTATACATGCCTACTCCATTTTGAAGGCAAGAGGGAAGAAGGTAGTCAATTGGAAAGATCTGACCTAATTTGGAGCAAACTATGCTTATATCATTCAAGAGTGACTACAGAGATAAAATTTGTTTCAGGAGTTAGATAACATCAACAAAAAAATCCATTTGCTACATACACACAGGTTTACTGCATGCGGCCTGTGAAAAGCTGTAAAGTACTCTGAAATCCTGAGGGTGCTTGGCAAAGTCCTACTAATACAAGAACTGAATGCAGCCAGGTGGCATCTGTCACCTCTCAGAATCGATCCCCTGAGCCAGCTTAGCACCAGCACTGCCTATGTCCCAAAACAAGAGCGTGCCCTGCTACGCTGGGTGGTGGTGTCGCTTCAAGGCCACATGCTATTCAGGCTGGCATTGCTCTCACACAGCTGAATGTTTTGTGCAACAACTGCAGTATGACTTAATCTTTATTTTTTTTCTTTTTACTCGTTTTAGAACAATGATCATCTTATTATCTAAACTGCATTACCGGCTCTCAATCCTACCACTATTTGCTTCTTCAAACACATCACAGTTTAGTCATCTCCAACTAAAGATGCAACTCATTTCACTGGAAATCTACCAAACACTTACGGTGGCATCAAACGAATTAATCAGGTCATCTGAACAGAACCATGCCCAATTTAACAAAAAGTTGCCGTTCACTCCCCATCCCACCGCTTCTAATCACAAAGAACTAGCATCAGACCTTCTTCAGCTTTCATAACTCTTCCAGGCTACCAAAGTGACATGTTGCTATAGTCTCTCACTTGAAGTATTTTTAGAGCAGGAATTGTTGTGTTCTTCATGGCAGAGTAACACTGAAATTATACTGTAACTGGAAAGCAATATGAAAACCCAGTATTCCAGAAGTTAATTTAAACATACAATTTGTTGAAAAACAAACAAACCAAATAACCCTATCTCCTCTGAGTATAATCCATATTCATTTTCAAGCTTTTAGTTCTTAACTTTTCAAACTTTTAAAGTCAGGATAAGGGCTATTATTAAGCTATGTAAAAACTCTTACTAACAAATGAAACACTTCCAGCAACAGCAATGCTAGTTCACCTTACTGGGAGGGTTCAAACTTGAAATTGGAGAGGAAATTAGGTATGAAAGCACTCCAGCAGCTCTTTACTGAATATATTATCACAGACCTCCGTTACTACAAATAAAACAGGTGATTTTGACCAGACAGGCCAAGTCTCTCAGTTATTTCACGAGCCCCCACCACTAAGGTAGGCTACATTTAACCCAGAAGGAATCAAGAGCTAACAGGTTCCAATCTTTATGTATCATCTATCCAGTCATCCTATCCCCTAAATTAGGGTGTGTTTAATACTGTTCAACCTTAATTATACATAAGACAGGAACCATAATCTTTTATTGACTCTATTTTAAGTACAATAGAAACAATGGTATAGCCCAATACATTTTTATTGAAGGTTAATTAAATCAAAACCATCTCAGTAATCTAATTAAACCCATCACCCGATAAAAAAACTAAAAATTTGGTAAGATAAATTAATAATGCTCACCAAACAAAAAAAACCAAACTTGGTATCCTTTAGCTCAGGTATAACCCAGAAAGTAAAAGGTAATTACCCCCCAATCCTCACCAAACAGCCAGAATAGTCGTAACAAATAACAGAAGCCTGATATCACAGGATGCTGTACAAAGGGAATACTAGTACAAAAAAAGCCCCACAGCTGTCACCTCATTCCACAAATGAAGGACAAGTAGCAGGACTGGGGCCTAAAGCAAGGTCAGCTCAATTTCTGTAACATGATTTAGTAGAGAAACTACTATTATAAAAATAATAATATGACACATAGGCACTTTCAGATACTGAAAAGATGTGCAAGATAAATGCAGTTAATGGAGATATCAGCAGCTGGAAAAAAGTTCAAACACCGTTGTTTTACTATGCATAAACTAGCAGCATCAAAATGTAGCTTATTTGTCAATTTGTATCTTAGAGGTCAAGGTGAACAGAAATAACCAGAAGACATAATGCATATGCCACAGAGGATTCAGAGTCTCAGCCTACAACACCCGAAAGAGGAAGAGAGAGAAAGGGAAGCGTTCTCTTACATATATATACCACATAAAAACTTTAAAAAAACACATGCAATTTAATTAAGGTGCCAAATAATTTTTGCCTTTTCGGATTCTCATTTATTAGACAAGGTATTACAGATGATCCACTGCTTGCAGAAACAGTAGTTACGTGGACAGCTTTGAGAACAAGAGGAATATAAGTGTTTTGTAAATCTGGTTAGATGGGTGTTCCAGGAAAAGAAGGTTGCATGACAAAAATAGGGAAATAAAATGAGAATAGACTGATGAGACCAGTATCACTAGTGGAATGCAATGTGTTAAGCAGATAGTAACAACAGAGAGAAAGGAAGCAGAAGGGGAGGGTGCTACAGACTGGTATACAGCTTTTCAGAGCCTGATGCCAGAACTAAGAACTTGATAGAGCAAAACAGGAAGTTAGTGCAGGTAACGAGTAAAACTGGTAAAGATGATGAACTTAGAAGCTGAGTTTTGAATGAATCAAGGGCAGCTATGTTGCTTAGAAGGGTTCTGAAGAACATAAAAGGAAACTATTATTGTGTTACTACCCAACACACTTGAGAAGTCCAGAAGTTAATGTTTTTAACCTGCATTATAATATTAGGCATTTGTTCAAATATATTTGCAGAGTGAATTTTACTGTTTCTAGTTAAATACAAAGTCAAAATAAAAAAAATTAAAAAAATCAGTAACATACCAGTTCCATTAACTGTTTTAGCTGACCTATCTCTTCTGGAAGGGAACCTAGCTTATTGTTACTGGCAATTAAGACTTTTAGAGGAAGACCACACAGGCAAGCTGGCAAAGAAGAAAGCTGATTTCGACTGCAACAAAACAAAAAAACCAACCATTAAAAACACCAGTGACGTTCTACCGTATATTCACATAAAGTCTGAGAGTTGTAAAATTCCTTCATTTTGATGGGTCAGATTTTATGCAGATAAAATTTAAGTTTTTGAATGACAGTCATTAAGAAAACACTTGCACATCAAAAATATCTATGTTACTGACTAAACAGTATTGTGGAATACTACCATTCTGGAAAAAATGCATTATATTAATAATAGTGTAACAGGTCTGGTTGTCACCTATAACTGCTGTTTCCCTTCATAACGTATACAAGAATGTCAACTAAAACAGTATTTTGCAAGTATTTAAACATTTCAATGGTTTTATGTGGCAGTATAGTGTTTGTCTCTCATTCCAACTGAAAGACAAGTAAATAAATTACAGATAAAATGGTTATTTTTTCCAATTACTCACACTTACAGTTGAAAATTACATGATACGTTTTTCTACGATTCTATGATATTAATACAGGTAAATACAGCAAAAAATTCTGTGACCATCAATCGTTCATTTTTTCCCAAAACTCATATTGAGCCATTTTATCTCTGTATCTTATTTTTTCCTAAAGCTGATAAAACAATTTTAAGTGACTGACATGCGCCATTTTATTCTTCGTACCATATTTCTAATTAAAAGGAGGAAAAAAAAAGAAAGAAGTGAGCAGACGTTTTTCATAAAGAGCAGCTGCAAGGGAAGGCAAAATTTGGTAGAAAACTTTCAAAACATTTAGATTCACATTCTAGTAATAACTACCCAAGAAGCTAGAACTTAGAGATAACAAATGTCATGACCCTTTGTCATCTCCAGATAACTAAAAATATTAATTTCCTGTGATTTGTGGGTCAATACCCAGACGAAACTTTAAGCTCAACAGAATAACATACTAACTGCTGTCTTTCCTAGAATATTTGAAGGTTTTCTTAAAAATACAACTTTTTCTGTTTTATGAATGTTAACCTGTAGGAAAACAACGAACAGTAACTCAACGTGGAATCTCAGTAAGAACCATTTTAGTTAGCTTCTGCATAACTGTTAAGGCTCCAGAGAACAAATATGCATGACTGAACTCTGAAAACAGATGGCAAAAATTGTCCTGTGTAATTTCAGTAAGAGCCACAATATTGAATTGAAACAAAACGAAACAAAAATCAAAATTCCACAAGTCTCAAAACATTTCTTCTTCAACTGCCAATCCAGTGGTCTGCTACAAAACTACGTACGAAGATGCATATTCATGCTCCACCCAACAGTCTCAAAATATTTTATAAAGCAAACTATCATCACATCTCTGTTCCACAGGCTGGGAGACAGACAGGTATCAGATAACAAACCCAAGGATATTAAAGGTGAGAAATCCAACTTCTAACCAGCAGTAGCTGAAAAAAAGAATCAATGCTTATTGTGAAGTCAGGATTCTCAATTCTAGTATCTTTACAGAAGACCAAGACATAACTTATTCTAAAAATAAGTAGAAACTCAAATTGAGGAAGGCTAGAATCTAAAAAAAGTTACACTATGTAACAGATCAGACACCAAAAAAATTAAGTAAATATAGTTTTTAAGTTCTATAGAACTTAGAAGCAACCCATTAAGAGATAAGGAACAGCACATAACCATGGCAAATGAGTAATAAGGAATTTCTTTAAATAAAACATTAGCAGTATCCACCAAGGCCCAAAGGCTATGTATCTCTCTTGGCATCACTTTCTAATTCTATAAAGCATATGGGCTCTGCTGGTAACAGGCAGAAAAATATTAATTTTAAACCCATAATATTTTTCTTGCCAAGAAGCAACATGGTTAACAAGTCAAGGATATCTTTCCTTCTTCTACCAACTGCTTACTGAGTTCAGCTAACATGGGGGAAGGGCACATCCAAGTGCAGAGATGTTAAACTGAGTGAAATTATCTTATTTAGTAAAACTTAAAAATTTCCTTTCACTTTGATTGTCTATTTTATGTGATACATTATACTAACTCTGTAACTATTCTGAGTTTGTCATGATTCACACAAATTCCATCACTGCATTGAGTTCTAGTTCACTAGTTCACTACATTGAGTTCTAATTGAGTTGATTCCAATTCCTAAATTTACTAAGATGTTTTATGTAAACTTAATAATTTCATCTGGTCTTAATTTCTTTACACATCTCCAACAAACACTATTTCAAAATTTGAAATCCTATTCCTTACATGTGTGCAGATACTCGGGACATATTACTGTGTTTCAGTTTTTAGAGACAAAATTCATGTTCCACAGTGGCCAAAACTGCAGTACAGTAACAATATAGGAAGGCTTGAGAAACATCCTCAGTGTTTACAAAACTGATGATCAAGCCTTCATATCCTGAACTTAGAAGAGCCACTTTTAAAAGAGCCCAAGAGCCACTTTTCCCCCTGCCCAAGCTTCGTTTTTTCAAAGACCAGACTATATCATCTTCACTGTTACAGTTTTTACATACTCAGCTGCAAATAAACCTCCACATCTTGTCCCAACTGAAAAAGTGATGACATTCCTCCTCTCAAAAGCAAATATGCATTTATGCAAATATGCATTCACCTGCACTTAAACCAGTAGCAATTCTCTACACTGATTAGTATTCACACACATTTCTCACAGAAAAGAGAAAACAGTGCCTAACTCTTTGCTCCTTCCTCCTAAAAAAGGCAGTAACTATACTTCTTGCATAGTAAGACAATACTAGTGACAAAGTAGCATGCTTTTCCTCTCCCCTCATTTTCTCTCCTCATTCCCCATGAGAAAAACCATTAATCCTCTATCTCTGTCCCTCCAGCTTTAAAGTATGTCAAGTTTCACAAAATGTACCATCAGAAGGGAATTAAAAGAATCCAACTGTGCTGATGTGATTAGCACTCTAAATTTGCTAGAAGGGAAAGAAAGGAATTAATATCACTTGTTCTTTCTTCAAATAATTAGTTTCACATTTTGGCCTTTATAATGCCTTCATACAGAGCTGTACCTACAGCCAGTATGTTTTTGTGTTACAGCTTCTAATAAAATGAAAAATGTAGTCAGTTGTTCCAGAAACACACAAAGTGTGACAAGAAAGCTTTACACATTTATTTACACAAATAAACAAAAAATGTGGCAAAGTTAAACTTACCTCAAATTTAAGTAAGTTAGCATTTGCAAGTTTACTATGGCATCCGGTATAATTTTGATACAATTGTGGTATAGATTTAGTGTTTCCAGTGACACAAAATGGCACAATTCCGTAGGAACCTCAGTTAATCTATTCTTGGATAAATCTGAGAAAAGAAAAAGAGAAGGTTCATTTTTTGAGCCATCAGAAATATGTAGCTTGAACAGCTATGCCTCTTTATTAAAATTAAATTTTAATAAAAATAACTAAAATTAATAGATGTAATCCCACAGTGAGACAGCAAATTAAGCCAATGTTTTTATTATGCAAAATAAAAGTAGTGCTAACCTTCACAATCTTTAAATGGAACAGACTGTGTATACAAGAGCAAACATTCAATTATTATTTATTCAGTCTAATAAAAAGTAATTATTTGCAGGACTCAATATGCTGAGGAAATACTTGCAAACAGAACCAAGCATAGATTCTAAAGCTCATATAATATACCCAAAGATCTATCCAATACACAGCTAGAAATCTGCAAATAATGATAGTGTTTAGAGAAAACAAACAACAAGAATTATATCTGTATTTCTTTAAATAATAAAAAAAAGTTCTTTGTGTAACTCTTTAAACTGACCTGTATTTCCTAGATTTCAATTACAAAAGACCGTTGCCTATGAAAATAGTGAAGACCTTCAGGAATGGCTTTTATATATGGTACAAGAACATACAAGACAATGATTCCAACCCCCCAACTGAGTGCTTGTACCGACAGAACAAAAGCTTTTATTTTTTACCAGTTATTCATTCTTTATTTCTCACTTTAAGCACACAGACACAAAGGAAAAACAGTATGAAGCGTTACAGAGCTTTGTTTCTTAACTACCACAATATGAAAAATGAGGTGTCATAATAGATGTGTGCTCGAGTCATAAAATAATAATGCACGCCAGCGTTCAACTGAATTAACTGGATTCAAAGAAATGCTTAAACGGTGTTGCAGAACAAACACCTCTTACCATCAGAAACCACACAAATGCCCCCCAACCACACCACCAGGCAGGTAACCTGACCTGAAGATGGTCATCTGTTTTAAGTGGAAGGAAGGAACAGGAATGTACCTAGGCAAAAAGTGAAACGTCTGATGGGAAGGATACAAGGAAAAAAATGGAACTTAATGCTCCTCACTTCTTCACTGCTGCTATTTTAAGCCTCGTCCCTGATCTTTCAAAGCTTATTTCTTACTTTCTTGAACTACATGAAGGGAAAAGCAGCCAAAATATAGCAGAAACATTTCCAGAGTGCTGATGATCTGACTCCTCTCTTTAGGGCCATAAAGCATTTTTTTGATTTTGTGAACAAACAGGCAGAAGCCTGAAGATCTTTTTAACTTCCTTTGCAGTTCCAGGCTCGTCCGTTTGATGCACAGAGGCACAGCTTGAGTCTTCTATCAAGACAACAGCAATGGCCTACGGGTGCTGTAACTGAGAGCAGCCCGCTGACCCAAATGGCAGTACAGTTGAATTGAGCACCTCGACCAAAATTATTCACTTCTAAGTTACTATACAACAGCAATGCCTGGACTGCTCTGCTTTCTCTTACCAGGTTTTGATGGCAGTTAGATGCAGCCTTACCACAGCTTCTCCTTTCCTTCACTTCTGCCATCAAATTAAAGCATCCCCTATTTAAGTGAATATAATTGGTGTTTCAAAGGGGAAGAAAGATCTTCAACGTTTCTCTGCTTTAGTGCTTTAATCCTCTACTGTTTTCTATTTGTCATGAGAGCACTTGTTTACTAACATGGCCTTCCAAAAAAATTACCACTGGTTCCCTCTCCTGCCTTCCTCGCTACGTTTATTATCAGGTAATAACACAGGACTGCCACGCTGTAACTTTTTGACTCACGCAGGAGATCTTCACATTTTACAATTTGATTTCAAAGAAAACCTTCCCTTTTTTAAACCACACTTTTCTGCAGTGACACCGGCACGTACATAATGCTCGTTTCCTCCTTTGAAGGGGAAGGAGGAGCAAGATCCAGAAGAGTGAACTGAACTTTAGGCCTAGGCTGAAGACAATCCGCATGGCACTGGATGGTACATGGACAGGGACCTCTCATCCTTCACCTGACCCTTCATAAATGACACACAGTTCAAAAACTGTGAACACAAAAATGTGACTTCTTCTCAAGCTACTAAAACTGCAGCCTACGACCTAAACTCCACCTTCATGCCTGTTCTCATTTACCTTCATATCGAATAAAAGGGACTATTGCCACAACATCTGACATACCCTTGAAAAATTTTAGTACCTCAAACAAGTGAACAGCAACTAGATTGACCCTGCTCCTAGTAAGAGACATTACTATGACAGTAAAATGCTTTTTAAATTTTTTTATTGTATTACTATCCTTTGTTCTCAGGGGCTTTAACTCGGTTAATCTGAAGAAGGACAAAACAGAAAAACCGCAGATAACAGACAAATCCCTCTGTGTCATCCTCAGGACCATGCGTTATAGGACACACTATGTACACAAAAAAGGAACTGGAGAATTAACTTACAACAAAGGAAGCGCATTGTTTGTTATTGTCTAGTTATCACAGTTTAAGATTAAGACAATTTCAACACTTGTATCTATTGTTGTTTCCTAAATAATAAAAACCCGATTCTATCCACAGCATCAGGCAAAGGAATAAAAATAAAACATTTCATTTAATACCACTGTAACATAACTTAATAGAAAAAGCAGAAGTTTGCGTCTGTAATTCACTGATAAGAGGTATCATTACTACCAAACCTGAATGTCTTTGAGAAACAGAGTACTGGAATGGAATCTGACATACAGAATGCTCACATTTTTTAACTAGTGATAATTTTTTGATTAACTAGCAATAATTTTTGCCAAAAAACACACTTCCCTGATCAAAGGGATGCAAAAGAAAAAAGATATTGTTTTTATTAAGTCCTAGAATGAATGTGAGCCTTCACATGATGCAGCTATGAAGAATGCCTAGCAGCTTTCATATGTCTCTGAAAATTCCATGCAGAAAAGTGCATGTCTTCAGAAATGAAATGGAAAACAGCCTCCATAATATTTTTATACTTTAAAAGCCTGTACATGTAAACATGAACAAAATCGTCTGAATTCACATAACTATTCTGATATTTCTTTATAAGAAAGGCACTTTTGCCTCCCATTACTGCATTATACAATTATTCTGTATGTATTTCAGGTTTACTCTGATATTAAGTTCCAGAATAAAATAGAAGGGGTAAGCCTTAACAAAACTGCAGAAGCTTTTGAGCATACTGAGAAAAACTGTATGCATGTATCTTGTTTCTGCCATAATTCATAAACTTTCTGAAAAATATTTTGCAAAGGCCTTCTTGGGTTCATTATTTACGGAAAAAGAAGAATGCAGAAACAAAAATTTTAAAGAACTTCTGAAAATATTTTTAAATTACAGAAATAATTAGTTGGCAAACCTTTACTTTCTTACTGTAATTTTTTAACTCTACAATTCCCAAACCACTAAGCTACACATTGCCCTTGCTTCATTAATTTGAAGAATAACACTTCAGGGTAACTAAAAATACTGAAGTTACTGTACAGACTAGCTTTTGCTACAGAAATGGAAATGAACAGAGGGATGGAATTTGCTGGTGTTTAAAGAAAGGTTGATTCACTGGCTTATGCTATCTAACAAAAAGAAGATCTAACATATTAATGAATCTATGACGGCAGAAGTACATCTCACGATTGCCAAGACAACATAGGTAGGTTTCACCTGAGGTGACTATTTCCTGAAACTTCCATTATGGAACGGGCGACACAAGTATAAACAAACGTGAGGGGGACGCCACAGGCTGGAGCAAGCTTTTCGTTTTAAATGAAATACACTGTTCATTCATTATTTGTGACATCAAGAGGTTTTCAAACTACATCTGGCTTCACTGCATCTTTTCCTGCCAAGAACAAGTTTGTTAAAACTCCAAAATAAAGTAACAGAATATGAAAAAAATAAGCAAGCCGGTTTAGAAAAATATTAGATGGAATCTTGATCTTTAAAAGAGTCAGCACAATTCTGGCACAATGACATGGCTTTGAGAAATGTTACTATGTTGGAAGTTGGACAGGAACTACAGAAAATAAGCACTTCCTGAGCTGAGAGTGAACAATGAAAAGCAAAAAGTTTAGGCTGGTAAATAAGCATTTAACAGCAGGCTCCAAGCCTTGTCTGGTGGCTGGCACGGTCAGGGTCCACGCTGCCATCATGCCAGTGATGACTGACCCCATCCCTCAAGGCAAAACCTTTCAATCCCTGTAGCTCTGAATACGCCTACCACAATGAAGTACCACCGCTGACTAGGACCTTTCTGACTTCACGCTTTACAGGCAGATTATCAACTGCCACTATAAATATGCACATGATATAAAACACTGCCACTGCAGAAACCAAAATGGCACTGTCAAAATAACCAGAATGATTCTAGGAGTCATACAGTTACATTTAAGTCAGTAAGGCTCTCAAAGTGTTCCAATTTTCCTACCTTCCAGTTAGAAATACATTAAATACCACTTTTCAATACATTATTAAATAAAAACTGTAGACTATTCACAGGAGAGCTAAGCAATTTAAGCCTTTAAGTCAGAAAGGCAATTCATTAAATAAGTATGCATATGCATTACTGTATCACAAAACTTAGCCAAAAATTTTAATGAAAGCAGTGATTTTAAATTTTCAGATTATAGAAAAATTCACTATAAATGTATACTTCTAACACACAGACCTACAATAGACAAAAGTTGGAATTATGCAAGTAAGTATCTATCCACCATTGAGCAGGAAATTTTTGAGAGAGAAAAAGATCTGAAATAGAAGAAATATCTGTTTTTGATATAGAGTTTTGAAATGAAGAAATTGCAAGGTAAAAAAGTCACCCAAGCAACCTTAATTCCAGCCCACCACGTTCCTATTTTTGTACTCTTCAGCACTTACTGAGTGACAGGAATTATTTTGAACAATGTATTTGCATTTGTACTAAGATACCATTCAAGGTATTCAAATGAGATGTCTGAATTGGATTTGACAAAATTCAAGCAAATCACCAGGTCTTAAAAAAATAGTAAGTTCAACTCCAGTTTCATGAGAAAATTATGCA